GACCTCCACCTTCACCAGGTACGTGTCCTCTTCCCCACACTCTCCCTTGTTACCCACACAGCGCCCTTCACCTCCGAAGTACCACCTTCGCCCTCACCTCCCCTGCACCCTCATGCGGCCYGGCTATGGCCGCCAGTGCCTTGCGTGCAGGCAGCGCCCTACCGCCTAGCGCTGGCCTGCTTGCTCTTAGCGCAGCACTGCCTTGCACAGCGCAGCACACTTGCATCCGCTCAGCGTTCCCGCAAGTGGCAGCATTGGCCAAGATCCCTGCCCACTCGCCCTGCTTGCCTATATGCCAGTGTTGCGTGTGGGCGGCCTCCCTTCAGCCTGCGACTGGGCCCCAGTGCCTGAACCCAGGCCCGATACAGTTGGGGCCTGGGAGATGCAGTTGCGCCTCTTTCATCAAGGCGTGCGGCCAGATTCAGATAGTGGGCCGGTTTCCCATTGGCATTTTCGGCCTCTATATCCAGCGTGCATTGTCGGCCTCACGTTTATGTGCCCAGGGCCTAACCAACTCAGAGGCCCTGGTATTTCCGCATTTGCAGAGGTCCGAGACTCGGTGCACTCCAACCAACTGGCGTGCTGCAACTGTATGGACCCCCACTTCGTGAAATGTTTGCACAGAGGGCTCTTGTTGATTTGCTGGCCCGCCTTCACTTAGGGCGGTAACAGATCTGGCCTGCCTTCACTTAGGGCGGTCACAGATCTGGCCCGCCTTCACTTAGGGCGGGCACGAGGCTTGCTGGGGGCCTATGCCCAGAACATCTGCATGTCGGCTAGGCCCCTCTGAGGGCTCAATGCTCACAGATTTTTTGAATTAAAAGAAAAAGGATTGGATAACGGCAGGCTGAGACAAAAAGGGCCGCAGCCCCAGGAAACAACAAACAGCAATCTCTGTGTTACAAGATGTATCAATGGGACGCTGGACCCGGTTTCCAGCAGGTGCCGCTCCCCACCAATAGATGGAGCGGCCAGACAGATAAGCCCTCAATTCTGATGGTTCTCTTACCACTGCCAGGATAGAGGGCTTACGCAAGTGCAAGGAACATGAATGTGAGCGAAGTACAGAAATCCAAATTGCAAATCACGCTGAAGTCCAAGTAGTCAAGGAACGAGCAGATAGCACATTCCATCCATATGAGAACGATACAGCAGAATCGTGAGTCAATGTCCAAGCCTCTAGGGCCGCACCAGCAACAGAACCCAATGTAGCTCTCTCTCTGTATGGCGCCTGGCACCCTACCTACTCTACTACCTATCACTACAACTACAGCATGACCCGAGGACGACTTGAAGACTAGCGTGCTTGACGTCAACACCAATGCCGACCTCCTCTCGCACGCACCCAGGAACGTACGACCTCGCTCCCTTCTCCTTCCTCGTCTCCCCACTTCTCTCGCCTCCTCCCGAAGACCTCCTTCGACACCTCCTCTCTCTGCGCCCTGCAGCCCGGCTATGGATGCCTGCGCTCGCTGACCTGCAACGTCCCACACCTTTGCGCCCGCTAGCGCACTCAGCCTCCAGCGCAGCAGCGCATGCGCGCACGTTAGCGCAGCAGCATGCCTGTGTTGCCAGCTCTGGCCAAGATCCCCACACATTGCGGCCCTTCTGCCTATATGCCGCGAGCCGGCAGTGTGCGGCCTCCAGTAGCTTCTGGCTGGGCCCCAGTATCTGCACCCAGGCCCCTTGCGGATGGGGCCCAGGCCTTACAGTTGCGCCCCTTACCCCAGGGCCGACGTCCAGATTCAGATACCGGACCGGTTTCCCATGTGGGTTCATGGCTAGGATTCCTGCGTGGAGCTAACCTGCCATACCCCGGAGCGCTCAGCACGGGGAGGCGGCTCTCTTAGCTGTCGATCCATGGATGGTCGAGCACGGGGGAGATGAGCTTGTCCTTGGGGTTGGGAAGGAAGGGGGGATGTATCGGGCAGGAGGCACTTTGTAGACTAGGGTACGGAAACAGGAGTCGATCACTACGAACACTTCGAACACTACGAACCGAAGAACGCTGATGTCCAGCGTCCTTCCTATGGAATATGCTGTAGGGCAGGAAGGGATTCTTCCACAAAGCTTGATGTAGGCGGTGCTTAGGGCTTCGACGTCAGTGACAGCTCAGGCGCGTTGAGATTTATGCCGTGGGGCGTAAGGGCTTAGCACAGCATAGCTGGTGACAAGTTGTGTTGTCGCGTATGAAACCCTAGTGCAGGACAAAGGGAGAAACGAATCCGGGGACTTCTACCTTAACCATCGGATGAAGCAGCCAACGATCAGAGCTTAAAGAAGTGTAAGGCCATGGTTGGAGTAAAGGAGTTTGTCAGGTAGTGGAAAGGTGCTGGAGAACGCTAACGCTATTCAAGTTCTGCGATCAGAAGGAACGAACCTACGGTCGGCTCTTCAGGAGAAGGCAAGAGGAAGTACTCGCCTGAACTTCCTGATGGATGGGAGAGCTCTGGACCGGAGATTGGGTGGGAGCAAGGGGTGGGCGGGGCCGTGGGTTGGCCTAGGATATGAAGTAGCCGGGAGCTTCCCGATTTGGCAGGGAGGTGACCAAGTTCCTTCAGGCAGGCCCGGATGCTTTTCTGGAAAGTACTACTGAACTGGCGGAGGATGGCCTTCGAATGTAACTCACCCTCGACATGCCAAGGGAGTGAGGCGGGAGAGTAAGATGTCATGAAGGTAGGCGGCATTATGGTGGAGAACACTCCCGACCACTGTGGCTGAATGTGGGCAGTTCTAGTGATGTGGGCAGTTCTAGTGTGTTGGGTTACGTCGTGCAAGGTAGCCTCATGCAAGGGATTGGGAAGCGGCAGCTGCAAGAACGAAAAGGGAGTCGGCGACGACGAGGAACATTCGTCAGGAAAGATTCTTCGGAACGGCAGAGAGCTCTGGCAGCTTAAGGATATTTTGACGAACAGCGGCAGGATTCAGATGAGTTGACCGCGGGGTGCTTGAACTGTGGGTGTGAACTAGGATGGGTCTGTGTGATAGGGCACTAGTGCCATCAGCCTCAAAAAGGTGATGGTAAGCTATCGGGAGCATCCGAGCGGGTTGTTCGGAAAAAAAAGAAAAAAGAAAAAAAAAAAAAAAAAGAAGAAGAAGAAGAAGGTATTGGGAGTGAATGATGCGGATCTGAGGATCCGAACAGATGGGATAATACTCACAGTTGAGGGGAATACAATCAAGATAATGAGGATGATGTTGATATTAATGATGATGTGAATGATGATGATGATGACGATAATAGTGATACGACTCTTTGGAATCAGAAGACCGGGGATGGCCATAATGATAGTGATAATGAATCATTGGAATCATCTCAAAACTGTGTTAAATGATGATGATGATGATGATGATGGTGATGATGAAGAGGACAATGGTGATATGAGTTGTTGGAATCTAAAGACCGGGGATGAAGAAAGGGATCTGGGCGGTACAGTCTACTGGGATAAGAAGAGAAGCGAAGACAGGAGAGTGGATTTCAAAGATTCCAACCTCATGAACGGCAGTGAGCAGAAGGAGGGCGAGGACGACAATGTTCAAAAATTTCGTAATCGGCAGAGGAGGAGACGGGATTGGAGAGTTCTCTCGTGCTGTGAGAGAATGTTGTGTGTGTGTGTGTGTGTGTGTGTGTGTGTGTGTGTGTGTGTGTGTGTGTGTGTGTGTGTGTGAGAGAGAGAGAGAGAGAGAGAGAGAGAGAGAGAGAGAGAGAGAGAGAGAGAGATCATTGAATCATCATTGTGTCATTGAACCTTCACTGAGGGGTCACAGAGCTCCAGGAAATGTTATTGATGGAATCAAAGCCAGTTATGTTGATAATTATATTTTGGATCGATGGGGCTTCTCTTTAGTTGTTGAGCTAACTGTATAACTTTTTGATCCTCAGAAATGGTCGTTACAAGTCTGGGTACAGTGGGTAGTGGGACTAGATTGCGAACTAATTTCAGGCGCCGTAGGGTGAAGAGGTCCCATTTTTTTGCTGTTTTTTTTTTTTTTAACATGCTCCAATCTATTCGTGGGAGCAGCACGTGCTGGGAATAGTGCAGAGAGTTTCTGAACTTTGAGAATGTACCATGGTAACCGCCCGGACGTTCAGACCAGGTTCCAGACAGTCCGGTGTTGATAATTATC